TAATCACAAACAGTTTGTTAGTGGACCAAGTTTTATATTTTTTGAATGTGTAGCTATCTAATAGTTTTATTGTGTTAATGCTGTAGTATTCACCAACTATGATACTCTAGACTTAATTGCTAGTACTAAAATTCATCTGGATTATTAGGATAGTTTAATTTCATCTTATTGTCTCTCTAATTACATATTTTGACTATTGGAGTTGAACTTTTTTCAACAATCCAAATAGTGCCATTGATATTCCTTATTTTATAGAAATTTGATATTCCTTTAAAGTGATAGATCTATATTTAGCATTATTTTTTTTATTGTTTCTTATGACTAATTTTTTTTTAAACACTCCACTTAATGATAAATTTAGACTACTCTTTTTTAATTGTAATTATGCATTTGCATCATTATGATTTTTGTGATGGGAACAAATTCTCATACAAATTTTATTAATAGTGATCATATAAATCATTTTATTAATAGTGACATATTTTTGACAGCCATTTGATATTTCTATATTATCACATCTTTCAACAATCCAGATTGATACCAAATATTTCATTTTATGAGTAGAAGTTCATCCTGAACAAATAAGCTATCAACATCAATCATTACTCATTCTCAAATTAAAACTTTTAACAACAAGCATCAATTATCAGGAACCTATCACTTATCCACATAAAGTCATCGTTACAGTCGCACACTATTAATACAAATCTGCTAAAACTCATAAAAAATCAAAAATTTCTATTTGAGTAGCCTCTCTTCACCACAGAAAAATCTCTTGTTACTGACGGATGAAATCTGCCAGTAACGATGATAATCCGTCGGAAATTATATGTTTCCGGCGGAATTTTATTCGACGGTAAATCACACGCCGGAAAAGCTATTTGGGAGAAAAGTTTCATGTAGTGTTTATTTTCATGCTGTTCATCAAAAATCTCTTAAGCCAACCAAACTATATTTACAAAATAAGCTGACGCTCTGAATAAACATCCAAAGCATATCCAGTTATTGTTCAGACTCCCTACTAGGGGTGCAAACGAGTCGAGTCGAGCTCGAGTCAGCGGTTGTTCGAGCCGAGCTCGTCTGAGAAATGCCGAGCTTTTTAGCTATTAATATATTATATAGTTAAATCTAAAAATTAGGTATATAACTACAAAAGAACTTATGATATTTATGTTATTGGATCCTTTACATTCATCAATCTTTACTTAAATTAGTTTATATATATTATTTTTATTATTTATCTATATGTGGTGTCAATTTTGATTTTACTTTATATTTGTTTTTAAGTGATTGCTAATTTGCTCTATAATGAGATTAATAACAGATAACAAAGATGTGACCATCCACCATCCCAACCCTATGATGTCACATAACATCCATATCACCAAATCTTCTTATATTTTCATAATAAAAAAATATATTTAATAATCATTAATCAATCTTTTCAAAATTATATATTAATTATTTCACTTTAAATATATATGGACGGCGCTAAGAGCATCAAATGAACAAATTAATCATGAAATATAATATTCTAATTAAATAATCAATTTATTAATTAAAAGAGAAGGATTGTTAATCATTACTAATCTTGTTTTAGTGCTAATTGGCATTTAGTGAAAAATAGAATAAATTGAAATCAAAGTTGACGCTAGTAGCTAATTTTTTTTTTTATACGAGGAAGCACTGTCCTTAGGCTAATGAAAACTCTAGTCGATCTAGCATGCAACTCACATCAATTTATAAGGGCCAACACTTAAGACTTTCACTGCTTGCCAAAGAATTCGAACAAGGGGCTTTAAATATTTCACTAATGAGTATTTAAGTAATATATTTTTGAAGACTCCACCTTTTATCGTTTTCTACTTTTTCTCCTCTATTTGGACCGTTTTCATGTCTTGGGGAGCACTCCTCAGGGAGGTGGGGCCCAGGAAAAACCGATCCGGGACCATGACTTAGCTCAAATGGGAGCAATTATTAGGTCCTTTCACTGGATGTAGAGGAAGGTTCGGTTTTGGGCAAAAATAGGTCAAAAAGTGCAAATACCAAGTTTTTTGAAAAACTCGGTATTTTTTCAAAAAACTCGGTATTTGCACTTTTTTAGGCAAAACCGAACCTTCCTCTAGCTCCTTGCACCGGACCAAATAAAAGTTCCTCAAATGGGGTGTTACGTGGCACGGTGAGAAAAAGGAAGTCATATCATTGGTTTAGAAGCTGACAGAAAATATTCCTGCAAGCCTAAAATCGGCTCGGCTAGTCGGCATTGTAAAGCCTACTAAAGTTCTTTTTGGGACGACTTAATGTTTTTAAAAAAACTTTTTGATATAAAAATTTTAATTTTTAAATTAAAAAATTGTTTTAAAAAGAAATAAAAAAGCCGTCCCAAAAGATAAGGCTTACTGTTTCTTATTAAAATTTTTGTAGTAATAAGATGTTTTAAGAAGCAATAAAAAAGTCTTCATAAATGAAGGCTAAGGTTCTGTTTGGGACTGTTTTTTTTTTTTTTAATAATTTTTAGTATAAAAAATTCTAATTCAAAAAAATTTTAACTAAAATATTATTTTAGAAATCAATAAGAAATCTGTCCCAAACGAACCTTATGTTAAGTTGCGTTCACAGACTTCTCTAATGCTAATTAGTCAAAGGATTAGGCTTTTAAGCAACTGAATGATGCCATTACTCTTTGACATCATTGGTGATTAATAGAGGAATTCATAGCTGATCTACTGCCATTCTATTGAGTCAAGAACATTTATGATTGAATTTAATATATATAGTTATTGGAGAGATAAAATTAGTCAATGAATAAAGGAATTGGAATTTGGGAATTATATGGTAAGTCGGTAAGTGTCTTAAAGCTGGTTTTGAATTACATATTAGCCATTAGTACAGCCTTTTTTTTTAATTAATCTTATAACAAACATATTTATAGATCTAAAAGAAGATTTTTTTTTCTAGCAATAATATAACAACATGATAACAATCTATTAATATGATGAAAATGTAGGCTATTCTATGATAAATTTATCAAATAATTACACCATGCATGCCTCATAGTTTTTTTTATTGGTGGTCAAGTAGGTATATTAGAATATACATAATGTTGTGTGTTGGAACATTTTTTACGATAGAGAGATATAAATTTTAATATCTTATTTATACAAGAAGATCTAGCACACACAAATCAAGAGAGAGGAGTGTAAGGATCATAAGAGACCTTAGAATTTTTTTATAGAAAAAAATAGAGGAAATTGAAAAATCATAGGATACGAACAAGTTAAAATGATTCCAATAGTTTTTGTTTCTGATTACAAATAATGCGTTTCCTTGCGAAAGATATTCACAAAATATAGCAAATATACATTGTATAGTGCACAATAAATGGTTGACTTGTAAGAATCCTATGACATGAGAATTGCTCTTAAGAGATTGTTGACTTATTTGTTTGGTTAAAAAGCGTTATCTAGTTATGGTGGTTGGAGGAATTATAGTCGGGCGTCAGAGGGGGAGAGATCGTTGTCGGGCGATGGAGATTAGTGGGGTTGTAGTCGGTTGATTAAGGTCGGTGTGGTCGTAATCGGGTGACTAAAGTAGGTAGGGCCTTAGAGAGAAGAGATAGAATACAATATATTGGTTTCTACTAAAAAACCCTTTGTTCTTCTGTTCTTCTTGTTCTATTGGCTTATTCTTTTCAGCTCCTTCGACGAGTACCACAACAACTTCCAGATGATAAAAGATAGATTTTATATGAATTTATTTGACATATTTGGTACACTCCCTTTTAGATGTAATTTACTTTTTTATTTCTAGTTCAGACAAATTAGAATTTTCATATTCTTTTAGAAATAATAAAGTTATTTTCCATTAAAATTCAAATTTTGTTTGTTCTATTTTTTTAGCTAGTAACCTATAAATAAATAAAAAAAATTCAAGTTGTATAAAGCAAAAATTAAGTGAGAATTTTACCACCTTATGGCTAGGTCATATAATAAAAATTTTAATCTGTGTTTAATGCAAAATTGTTCATAAATTCAGTAATATATGAAAGCTTACAGGACTAATCTGCAAATGATTCCTATTCCATTTTCCTTTCACACCAATCGTTACCAGCTCACTTCCAGCCACGGCCATGGACAATTGAACACACACAGTGCCCATCACGTGCCCAACAGGGAATATACCCCCACCGCTCCTCCTCGTAAGCGGTTTTTGCTGCACGAAAAGCGGGATAGGAAACGCAGAATAAGCGCTTTTCCTCACCGCAAGTCTGAAATCAACGAAAAACCTCTTTCAGCAAGGAAAAAAAGTCACATGAAGCAGCACACCACTTGCGTCCTGTAACTGACTTCCCGACTTTTTATTCCCTTTCTTTTTCCTCAGATAAAGCCTTGAGTACTTTCCTGTAACTGCTCTTACAGGATATATATGAGGTGGAAGTAGTTTTCAAAACAGCTCGCCTCCATGTGAGCTTCTGCTACTACTACATATGCTCGAAATTGTATAGATTTTAGAGAATTTAACTATATATTTCTCGTGCATTTGAGAATCCAAGAATTTGCTATCATTCAATTTGAATCGACCGTTTTCATGTGCTGGAACTCGGAAAGCATGGAAATTGTTCTTGAAAGTTACAGGCATATGTGCTCAATTCAAGAAAAAAAATTCATAAATGTACCACTTTGATTTAAACCAGGCATGAAATCTTCTCACACCACAGGAAATTCATTCTTTACCGGCGATTTGACCGCCGGAATTAACCGGCTGTTTGAACCGCCGGAAAACCGCCGGTAAGTTTAGCCGCTGGAAAATGATCGTCAAAATTCTTTTCTACGTACGCGGTTTATTCCAACGGTTTTAAAACCGCTGGAAAACTTATTGGAAATGACTGCCGGTATTCGGTTATTTTCCTATAGTGTCAATTTGAATTAAAACAGCAATTCAGAACTAATTAAATTGAAAGTGAAGGATTACACAACAAAAATAGTTCATTAATTCCCACTAATATTACACGACAACACATGAATTCTATAGCTGTATGAACCAAAAAAGCCAAAAAGAAAAATTATACATCACTCTTCACACACATTAATTAGCTGGTCTCTGGTGGTAAAACATATCTGTATACAGCAACACAAATCAGAGAAATTTTATAATAATTTACAGTAAAATTAATTAAGATCATCTAAATATAAATTAAAAATTGATTAATGAAGCCGCCCTAGACCTTTCCATTAATGACAAATAAAAAACCAAACTAACTGGTCAAGCCAACTAAAGCACTCGATCTTGATAATTAATTCAATTCAATCTCCATATAATCTTCAGCATCTCCACATGCTCTGCAAGTCGAGCTCGTCGTCTGCCGCAGCGGCCGGTGGCGCATCCAAGTCTTGATCATACGAAAGATCATGTTTTGATATGACGGAAGAGATTTCAGTGTTCCGGTCGGTGCTGATACCAGTGTCCTGGCTCAGCATCGACTGGTTCGAGAACTGCTCAACCTTGCAATGCCTCCGAATCGCCGGTGACCGCGACGACTGAATCATAACTTGTGGATCCTGGTCTAGGTAGTGCACCAAATCTCCGAACATGGAGGAGAGGTATGGATTCTGATCATGGGCATCGTGAAGCTGGTGCAAGTAGCTGGAGCTTGAAGAAGGATCATTCATCATGTACTGATTCTTGCTCGGATAAAGCGAGCCATCCACATCTTCACCTCCGCCGCCACCGGTTGTGGAGGAGAAGAAGTAGGAAGGCATTAGTGGTGTTGTGCTCGCGGCCATAGCTACTGGTTTGAAGTCGAAGCTGTGATCGCTGGCACCCGAGTTGATGAAGGCAGTATCCATGAGTGGTGGAAGCTTTGGGGAATCCAGGAGCTCATCCGTGACTGAGTTAACCCTAAGCATTCCACCGCCATGCATTGGGCTTTTCTTCAGTCCGGTGTTCTTGTCGAGCACCCTACAGACAACCCATTCATCCTGCACACATATTTATAATTTGATTTTTGAGAAAAAAACCTCAGAAATAGACGAAACTGAAATTAATAAAGATAACAATAAATCTCTCTATCACAAAAGAAATTATTACATGCCGATCAAATAATACGAATAAGTGCGGACAGCTCATAGATGTATAGGATGTACAGAATCATACAGAACCTAAACTGCTGTCACTAAACCTAAAAATTTCTTATTTGTCAAGCTGAAACGAGTGGTGACCTTAATTAGCCCTTAATTTTGGAATCGATTTATTTATTTTTTTTTCATATATGAAATTTTTGCTGATAAATTTGCTGCAGTACTTTTGTACAATTTCTATTGCTTCTTCTACGGTAAAGGAGAAAACTTGTATACTTCTATGACTTTAAAACCCGGTGATTTGGCCAGTTTTCTATCAAAATAGATTGAGTGCAAGGAACTAATTAATACCTTTGCCGACCTTGGGAAATTGGAGAGAGAGGCTTTGCCGTCGAGCCTGTACTCATGCATAACCCAGTTTGTCTTCTCTCCTTTAGGAGCTCTCCCTGTGTAAAATACAAGCGTCTTCTTCATCCCAACCAGAACTACTCTTCCTCTGTAAATCTCTTTATCTTTTCCAGTAGCCTTCCAATATCCAGACTCTGTAGCCCTATTCGTTCTCATACCTGTTGGATACTTCCTATCCTTTCGATAGAAGAAATACCACTCCTTCTCCCCCGTCATCTTTGCCTTGCCTGCATAATCACACATGATATCAGTAATTCAGTATCAATAAAGAAGTTATTTTTCCTATCATATTAAGAAAAATAAATAGAGAAAAAGAAGAGAAGAATATAAAATATATATTACTTGGAAGATCCCAAGGCTCGCACTTGTTCAAATCAATCTCTCCCATAGCTATTGCTCTGAAGCCATGATTGAGAACCTTTGGGGAGAGATAGTGTGTTATTATCTCCTCGTCTGAGGGATGAAACCTGAACCCAGGAGGTAAAACCAAGCCATCTTCTTCCACAGCCATGAACAGCTTAATTTCTGGTACGGGAACGGAGTTGCAGGCACGATTGATCGACTTGAAAAGTGAGATTTGATTAAGAAGATTGAGGAAGATAGAGAAGAGGAGTTTAAATAGATAGGGAGTCTAATTTGTGGGACATGTCATGATCCGTGCCAATGAAGTCACTTGTTGGAGAAGCTAGCATTGTTTTTCTTCCCTTTTACATTGCTTTATGGCCACTATTATTAATTTTTATTGTTTTTATTAATCATTCCATAAAAAATGTGCTATGTTTGTCTCGATCTGCAGATTATTAATTTATCTATTTATTAATCTTTTACTTGGTACTTTTCTATGAATCTATGGTGCGGCTTCGAGTGTCTACTCAGCTTTTGACGAGGAAACGGTCGTCTGTGGTTGGTTTAATCATTTATTCTATGGCGGTTGTGATTTACCTGAAGCAGATTCTCCTTTCATTGGCACGGATCATGACATGTCCCAAAAATTAGACTCCCTATTTATTTAAACTCCTTTTCTCTATCTTCCTCACGCTTCTTAATCAAATCTCACTTTTCAAGTCGATCGATCGTGTCTCCAACTCCGTTCTCGTATCAGAAATCTGTTCATGGCTGTGGAAGAGGAGGGCTTGGTTTTACCTCCTGAGTTCAGGCTTAAACCCACAGATGAGGAGATAATAACACACTATCTCTCCCCGGTGGCAGAGCAAGAAAATGTATTTAGGGGGCCTAAATTAATTTTTTTTTTAAATTTTCTCTCAATTATTTACATCCAGATTTGGGACAAGCATAGAAAGTTTTAATTTTTTTTTCAAATTATTATTTAAGAAGGTAGAATATTAAATATAAATTAATAAATAACTTATAATAAAAATAAAAAAACTTTGGTAGTATAGAGAAATAGTTTAGTTACTTTAAATGAAAAAAACTTCCTCTATATAAAAAATATTGTTGAAAAATAGCTAGAAAGTAGAAATAAAAGAAATTTGCTTCTTTGTCTATAATATGCAAATCAGTTAGAAATCTGTCTCCAAACTATAATCTCTAATTATTATGAATATTTATAAAATTTTAAATATAGAATATATAATTTTTACATTTTTTAAGATTTTTTTTCTTCACATTCACAGAAGAGTATTGTAAAAAATAGTAATAAAAAGTAAATAATCTACACATAATTCCACATAATTGTAAAATTGTTCTTCCAACAATCACAAGACTTATAGCTTTTTATAAATTCATATCATTTCCAGGTAGCTTGCTTTTAGATAGTCGGTTAACCTCAAGCTTGACTGTCAAATCAAATACCTTGAATATATAGCATTAAAAAAAAAACCCTGAATATATGCGGCTTTGTTTAGATAATTTTTTACCATTTTTAAGATTTTTTTTCACAGAAGAGTATTGTAAAAAATAGTAATAAAACTAC